TATTTTTTGGCTGCAACAGAGTTAGAGTATCTCCAAGTGCCAAAGAACATGCACTGTGTGGTAACTGGTTGACTGCTTTCCCTAGGTTTAGTACAGAGAAAGTTTACATACTGTTTGTGTTTTCACTCCTAGTCAGGCCAGAATAAGGAACTTGTTATTTCATCTTGCTCTGCAGGTTGTTTCTTCCTGCAGCATGGCTGCAAGGTTGTACTTAAGCATTGCGACATTTAGTGCAGCCTTCAAGCTGATGAAGCAAACTGTTGGGGTTCTTTTTTGTGAGGGGGGAGGTTGGTGGTTTGTTTCTTTTTTTGGGGGGAGGGGGGGCTTTTTTTGAGAAGTTTGAGATTTTTTTCCATGCCATATAGCAGTACTTCTCATATAGATCAGATCATCTTTATGCTGTCCCTTGATGGCTGAACACAAAGCAAAATGAATACCTCTTCATTAGCTTGACCATGTTCTGAAGGAGGGGAGTTTAAAAGGGAAGCTTTAGTCGAAGATACCATGAAAAAAGCCTCCACTCATAGCCAATTTAGATACTCAGCTAAGGTTTTTGCCAGCACTTTTAAAGCTACTGAGTTGGGAACCATTCAACCTTTATCCAGCCCCACACTATTCTGTAGACTATACAGTATGGCTTATAAATCAGGTCCTATGGCCACTGTTGTACAGCAGTAGTTACAAAAATCACTACAGTTTTGTTCATTGGTTGCTGCTGCCGCCATGAAATTGCTGCAGTAGCTTTGATTACTTGGAATGGTATTTGTGGACATTTTAATAGCATCACTCTATTAATATATCATCTCACTTTAAAAATATCTGACCAAATCTTCATCTGGTATAAATCAGTTAAGTTCTCAGTGAAGCTAAGGCAGTTTTTATCTGCAGAGCACTTGGTAGGGCAACTGTTCAAATATGAAAAATCACGTGTGCAAGGTATACTTTTGTCCTTTTCCCTTCCTTTCTTTCAAGATAGAAATTAAACAAGACTTGTAGGCCTTCTACAATTGCAGAATAAGTTACGGAAGCTGACGTAAGATATATACCTCAGCTTTGATGATCAGGGATTCATTTAGCAAGTAGCAAGTCATCAAAATAACAATATATGGATTCTGCTGGATGACATTTTCAGTGGAGTTGCAGATCAGGAATTCATTTAATGAGTAACAAGTCATCAGAATATCAGTATATGGATTCTGCTGGATGACATTTTCAGTGGAGTTGCAGAATAGTGAAGTGACCTCATGGTTTGTGTGATGGTCTGGGGAGTGAAGTAGATTGTGTTCAAAGAATGCTGAGTAGGGGATTCAAACATTTTCTGAATATGATAATTTTTCCTTCCTTCCTTGTCTGTCTCCACCTTCCTTATCCCATAAATTCTAATGTGTTTGGGTTTTTATCTAGCTACACATTTTCTATTTAACGTACTAATGTTCATGTCTTCACCTATACAGTTAAGCTGTCCTAGTTTCAAGTTAGACGTGCTAATACAGGTGTGAAAGGACAAAAAACCCCACAACTCTGATTTGTCAATTCTTGACTGCTTGATGCAGCCTCTGCTTTTGAAATTCTCCTCTACCCTCCTTGGGAGATCAATAAAGAGAATAAAAAAAACCAACCCCAAAACTTTGACAAAGTTTACCAACATGTGGAGATCATCCAACTGTTAGAGTGGGCAAACAGGAATCTTAGAGAAAGTCATAGTATGAGAAAAGGCCTTCAGCAGCTTTTCACACAAATGAAGACAGGCATTAGGCATTGTTAAAAGGGCAATGGGTCTTGGTTCCCAGCATGGCATGGAAAGCCTGCCTTGAACCTTCTTGTGGAAAGCAGAGAGTTAAGACTGGTGTGTGTAATATTTCAAATCATGAAGTAATTTATGCAATCCATTCAAGTTCAGTATTGGTAGCTTTAAGAGATGCCTAAGAACAGGTATCCTGAAGAAAGTAGATGGCTGGCCCAGATCTCATTCATTCCTGTTGCAGAGAAAAGAAATTATTTCCTTTCAGAAGACTTGATCTATGCAGTAAAGTACTCGTGCATTTGTCACTTGGATTAAGTTTCTATAACAGGGCTCATAAGGATGTAAATTCCTGGCATTTTTCCAGTTATCAATATTGAAATATTAGTGATCGAGCATTTACTGAACACCATTCCTCAAATGCAGGGTCTCCACAGCATCTTGTTGCATTCATGGAATTCATTTGTTTGCATTATCTGGCTAACTGGTTCTTTTGTATTGCCAAGGTGATGAACAGATTTGACATTTAGCTGATTACTTCACCAAAATTAAACAGAAAACAGGGCAGCCATCCAAAGTTCCTTTCAGTGTGAAAGCTAATTATAAAAATGCTTTGAGCAGCAATTTCTTTTTGGATGTTAAAGTGCTTTTATTAGATTGTTCCCCTGTCATTTTAAAATTTATTGCTAGACACTTATAAATGGGGTTGCCTGCTGAAGTAGAATTATTTTATTTTCTATATTTAAGATGGGAGACAAAAGTGTATAGAGCAAATCTGAGGCTGAATTTGATAGTATTTAACATGATTCTGAATAGAAATAAAAATAACTAGTGCTGGCTTTTGTGAATAAAAAATATGTATTTTATCTTTCTGCTGAATAAAAGCATATATCCACTTCTACTTAAAATTCAACAACTCACAATTTAAAAAAAAAATAATTAGCAAATAAAAAAACCCCAAATAGGTGATTTAAAAGTTGAGTATAGCCCTGTATTGTTAGAAACTTATAGTGTAGATACAAACAATCAGTGGTGATGGAAAAATCTAACCGTGTGCTTGTACCTGTCTTTCATAAGACATTACTTGTTCTGAAATAGCATAAAATTACACTAAAATAGTTTTGTTAAGGTCATGGAATGAGATATGACCAAATGAATTTTAGCCTGTAAACTTTGAGATGAAGAATGCTGTATCCTGTTGCCAGCTCTTAGAAGAAGTTTCTAGTGAAGTATTTTTTGAATATCCTGGAATATATTTAACTTTTCATACTGACTGTTGTTATTAGCATCCTTTGGACCCCACACAAGGTGTGATCTGGGGAGGTTTCAAGGTGACAAAGTTGGAGGTTTTTGCATATGATAGTCTAGCACACTCTGGCTACTAAATCATCGTGTGAGGACATACGTTAATTCTTGACACCAAGATCTATTAATATACCTTGAAGCCAAGTGAATTATGTGAATCTGCTGTTCCAAGCTGCAGAATTCTGCCATAACTAGGAGGAAATATTTTTCTGTAGGTAGATTAATGTTGAAAGCTTGTCAAGAAAAAGTTTAATGTTGAAAATTTATTCCTCTTCCTCTTGCCAGTACTTGAGCTTCTACACTAAATCCCATTTGTAATCTGAGGAAAAATACAGATATAATTTCTTTTGTATTTATCTACGTTATTAGGGTTCCAATGATATAGTCTATTGCCTATTAAAAAGTGCATCCCAATGAATGATCTTCAAGAGGTTAATTTTTGCTCCCATCAATCTGAGAGCTTTTCTTGTAAAATACAGTAACTGTCAGTACTTATCAAATAATTTAATCCATTCACACTGTAGGATAATTAATTAAGGTAACTCAACATTCTGTATTAATAAATAACAAAATCGTGAATAAGAGATTTGCTAAATACCCTTTCTGGAGATAATGGGTGGGATTTAACCTGCATGTTTAGAGGAAGGTTTGAATAGAAAGAGAATGCAGACTGAACAACAGACTTAAGAAATACTCTTGGTTAATGTACAATGCAAATATGGGTTTGTTTTCACTTGACAGATAAAGTATATTTCAGTGCTAAGCCTTCATAGCTCTTCTTTGTATCTGTAGTGTCCAAGCAACAATTGACCCCACACTTTTTCAGAACTTCAAATAAATAAATAAAGTCAGTCCAGGTTTTAAAACAGTTACTCAGTGAAGATTTTGAAACCTCTGATCATTTGTAAACTGTCCCTATAGTTACATTAGTTTTATTCATATAAAGACTTTAATTAGTGAATTTATGGGAATTTGACAAAACACATTCATAATTAATTACATAAAACTTCATATTCTGTCTCCTCTAAGCACATCCACCTACCTGCTTGACAACGTGATGAATCATTCAGGGATATGTCAAACAAGGGCAGAATCACAGTCCTGTTAATTTGAAAGTTTACAGATTATGTCCTTGTCTACAGAGAAACTTCCTTTGCTGGGTTTGGTTGTTAACAGATCATATGTTCCTGCAATTTAAACTATTCCTTTGGTTATGCTCTATTGTGGTCTTTCAATGTGTCGATGGGTCTCCTATAATTCAGAGCAAGGTGTGCATGTATAATGTATCTGCCTAAAATGTGCATTGAATGAGTTTAGAACACTTCAGGCACTCTAAAAGCATAAATCTAGGTAAATTTTACTAATTTTTCAGTTTCTCTTCCAAGTGACCAAGAGATATATGGACTAAGCTTTAATGTGGAGCTGTGAAAGCTCATGAGGTGCAGTTTGGCCAGGGTCTCTCCCAAACAGTTTTTTTTTGATCCTGCATTGGCTTTGTGAGAAGTTCAGAAAAAAGTGGCAAAAAAAAAAGTATTTGAAGAACTTATTGCATACTCAGGCTTGAGTTTTGCAGCGGGACATACTCAGACAAGAGCTTAAATGAGGCTGTGGCATATTAGCAGTCAGCATTTGCTTATCAGAGCTTATTTTTGGATACATGTTTAACTTGAGATGTCTCTCAGAAAAGACTTGTTTGACCAAAATAAATTCAGAAGAAACATTAAGGAGGAAGGAAATGCAAGATTTATTGCTGGTCAACAAACTTCTATGCTAAACTTATTTGTATTTGCTAAACTGAAGCTTCTTGTGTCATAAATGCCATCAAGTTCAAGTCATCTTTGAAAATAAACTGATTAGTTTAGCCACAGCCAAGAAAAAAGAATTGCGAACCCATCTTTGGTTGCAAAAGTATTTCTTGGAGCATTTCCAACCTATACCTATTGTTTTTCCATAGGTTGATGGGATACTGTGCCTGGCTGACATTCTTACTGATAACAGCCATTCTGAAGCTACTCATGCCGAAGCAGCAGCAGTAATTGCACAGATCACATCTCCACATCTCACGTTCACACAGCATCTCAGCAGCTTTCTGGAAAACATGGAAGAAATTGTAACAGCACTTGTCAGTAAGTTCTTTGTGGATTTCTGAGTCTTTCCAGTTAAAATAACATGTTGGGGTAGGATTCTTTAGAAATGTTCCCAAAACCATGTTTTCTATTTTTTCCTTAAGAGATAAAATAACTCAGACATTTTAAATTCTGAATTGGAGCATTCTGCAATTATATAGGTCTTTTTAATCCAGTCCATATTTGAATAGAATGAATGCATATTTGTCAAAATAATATCCGTGTGAAATTCTACCACAACAGCCACATAAGGAAATCAGCAAAGTTGCTAACCTTTATGCCTATTGTATTTTCTATACTTGCTAGAACTCAAGCTCAACACTGCATCTACATTTGTATAATACTTCAGAGGAAAACTCCAGTATAGTATGGCCTATGGGCATTGTTACGAGAAAATAACAGATCTTTCTTGTCTAGGCCTCTGATCCATGTTAAAATCAGGCAAAGATAACAGCAAGTTTTTCCTTAACCTGGTCAGTAAGGACACTTCAGAAAAACAAGATGAACTTTCTTATGACTTTGTAAAGCAAGGACTCTTATTTCTGTCATTGGGCTGCATCTCTCAAATTTCAGAAGCTTTCAGTCAAGTGTTGTCTTCCTCTCTCTGATCTGGAAATTCAATTTCCCAGAGCTTCATGTCAGAAAGTACAGTTTGGCTCATTGAGTTTGAGTTCTCATGTATAATAGATCAATACATCCGGATATTCTCTACTGAGCCCAATGGTTACAGTTAAACTACAGGACTTCAGTTTTCATGCATGTTGGTTTTGTGTTTGAGTGCTTTTTTGAGGTTTTTTGGGGGGTGAGTTTTGTGGGGTTTTTGTTTGGTCGGGTTTTTTTGTTTGGTCGTTTTTGTTTCTTTTTGTTGTTTTTTTTTTTTCTTTAATAGATGAAGAAAAGAATATGGTAGTGCCAGTGCCGGCTGGCTGGGTATTAGCTGAGAGGTATTTAGGCATTCTTCAATATGTCCATACAGTACTAGTACAGAAATCAAGAAAGCAATTTATTCCTGATGACCAGACTGCCCACCAACAAATATTGAAGGTTCAGCCCTGAACCTGCCCTGAATCCAGTGGGTGGAATTAACTTGTGCTGAGCTTGGTTCTGCTGTAGCTAGACTGCTAGAGGCATCCAACCTGACTTACTTCTGAGGGATTTCCAGGTTATTACTGTGTACCATGGTCAAGGGACAATCTGAACAGCCTATCCAGAAGATACTAGCAGGTGGAGCATTTTCCTGACTGTCACTATTTAAGTTCCATGGGAACTTTAGGATTATATACTCTGCCCAAGAAAAGTGAGCATTAAAAATAGAACATGTATAACTTTGGAAGAGCTGTTTCAGTAATCACCCACCAGTTTCCTTGTAATATTTATAACTCAGTAATTGAATTACTGTAATATGTTTAATTTTTAAACCATGCTGAAATCCAATTATCGGGTGATTCATATCTTACTTAAATTACATGTGTGCAAGGAATCGAAAGTTAGTGGTGTCTTCAGCACTTGTATTGAAGCAGGAAAATATGCAGGATGATCTATAGAGAAATTGGATTAGAGGTAGGCAACATGTACACCTATCTTGTTCCAAAGAATAGGATATATAGCAGAATTATTCTGTTATGGATCAGTTATTGTTAGCCTTCTGCATCCTGTGTTTCATATTATTTATTTATAGCAAGCTTTGTGTTGAACAACATTCAGTGGAATATTCCCTGTAGAATGCTATGCTAGGTAGACTGCCTCATTGAATAGATGAATGTAAGAAATGCTTGGTTTCTAGGTTCATGTTTACCATTTTTCACTGTTTTTGTGGTTCAAATGAAGGTGCATAATGTTAATATCTTTTATAAAAATACCCTACAGTGTGGCATACGGCCAAGTGGCCAAGAAGGCTGATAGCATCCTGTCTTGTATCAGACACAGTGTAGCCAGCAGGATGTAGGGCAGTGATCATTCCCCTGTACTCGGCACTGGTGAGGCTGCACCTTGAATCCTGTGTTTGGTTGTGAGCCCCTCACCAAAAAAAAACAAAAAAAAGAAGACACTGAGGTGCTGGAGCATGTCCAAAGGAGGGCAACAAAGCTGGTGAAGGGTCCGGAGCACCAGATTTGTAAGGAGAAGCTGAGGGAACTGGGGCTGTTTAGTCTTGGAGAAGAGGAGGCTTAGGGAAGACTTTCTCACTCTCTGCAGCTCTCTGAAAGGAGTTTGTAGTGAGATGAGTGTCAGCCTCTTCTCCCAGGTAACAAGTGGTAGGAGAAGAAGAAATGGCTTTAAGTTGTACCAGGGGAGGTTTAGGTTGGATATTAGGAAAAAAATAGGTTGTCTAGCATTGGAGAAGGCTGCCCAGGTTGAGTCACCATCCCTGGAGGTATTTAAAAGACCTTCTGTAGATGTGGCACTCAGGGACATGGTTTAGTGGTGGACTTGGAAGTGGTAGGAGAAGAAGAAATGGCTTTAAGTTGTACCAGGGGAGGTTTAGGTTGGATATTAGGAAAAAAATAGGTTGTCTAGCATTGGAGAAGGCTGCCCAGGTTGAGTCACCATCCCTGGAGGTATTTAAAAGACCTTCTGTAGATGTGGCACTCAGGGACATGGTTTAGTGGTGGACTTGGCAGTGTTAGGTTAACAGTTAGACTTGATGATCTGAAAGGTCTTTTTCAACCTAAACAATTCTATCATACTATATAATTGACAAAATAAAGATGTTTGTTTTGTTTTGGTTTTTTACCTTGATGACTATGAACTTGGTCTTAGATACTAAGATTACAATGCAAGTTGCAGATGCTTAAATATTGCTTTGAAACCCCTAACCATGCTTTTTGCAATGAAGCAATGACTTTTATTCATCTCGCTTTCTGCATTCCTAGAATTGTGCCAAGAAGCCTCATCTGGTGAAGTTTTCCTGCTGGCTTCAGCAGCTCTTGCCAATATTACTTTCTTTGATACCATGGCTTGTGAAATATTGCTCCAGTTAAATGCAATGAAGATTCTTCTTGCAGCATGTTCAGACAAACACATAGTGGATACTCCATATTCCCGAGATCAGGTGAGCAGTTCCTCAGCAAGATGTTGTCTGAGCACATTTGTGTAAAAGTCAACAAGTTTCAGCTCTTCCTGTTTTGACATGGTCAAACCTAAGCTGCATTCATGAATCTGTTCTTGTTTCTTTTCAATATATAGCTCTTTCGTTATCTGCTTCTGTTCCTTTTTGTTATGAACATTATAAAATATGACAGCTTTTAATATGATCTTTTTTTAAAAAAGTGAAGATCCATATTTCTAAGATACTAGAATATTTTTTCATCGTGAAGATGGCCAAGCAGTGACACAGAGGCCCAAAGAGGCTATGGAATCTCTGCCTGTAGAGGTATTCAAAACTTGACTGCGTAGAGCTTTGAGGCAAACAAAATGTATACGGAGACTGAAGCCTAAACATGCAATTGTCAGTTCAAAGATGAATTAGCTCCAAAAGCTGAATTTAGGATCTGATCTTCAGCCCATTGACCTCGGTGCTCTTTAAATCAAGTCCTCACTGTATAATAAATGGTTTGCAAGTTTTACTGGCAAATACTGCTGATGTACTTTTGCATTTCTCTTTCTTTTTCACCATTTTTTTTTTCATAGACACATGTGTGCTAATGCATAGATGAAGTCAGAGGGAATTCTTTTGTTCCTCTCAGGTACTGCCATGCAAGTGGGTGCTGCAGAGGCACTACTTAATTTGGTATCTCAGTGATTAATTTAGCCTCAGCACTGTAACGAGTATGAGGCTTGAGGGTTTCTGTAGTTACTATTAAGGGGTGGAGGTTGATAGTCTGCTCAGTTAACCTGCTTCTGTTTATGAGACACTGTGAATATAACTAAAACTCCATAATTCAGGCCTCACAAGCCCATCCTCCTCCCACCTCTGAAGCAGCCAAAAAATGATTTATGGTAGACCTAGGATCTTCACTGCCACAGAAAACTGTGTGTGCTTAAACAGGAGGCAGACCATGGAAATCAAGGCACACGGGGCCTTAGAAACTGATTGTTGGTATTCTGGGGGGTTTACTAGGGCTGCTTTAGCTTATATTGTTAGCACTCAGTAGTTTTCCAGCTCAGAAGCGTTTATGAAAATATGGAGTTTAACCATAATTACTATTTTGCTCTTTAGGCAAAGTCAAGGACATCAGCTTTAGTGCTTGACATGGCTGCATAGCATTATTGTATATTTACAATTCTTCATGATCTTTTTTTATTCCTCCTGTACATTCTCGTAGTTTTGATTTCCTTATTCATTTATGCCCTCATCTTAATTCTGCTGTCAGCTGTGAGTTTGCAGTTTTCTCTGTGGGTAGCATAGCAAGCTCCTTCTTTGTATGAGAAAGGCAAACATTTAAAGAAATATGTATGACTTTATTAGGTAATAGACTAGTTCCAGGCCTTTTGCAACTTGCAGGACATCTCATTAGCTGGAGGAACAGAGAACTGAGTGGCTTCCCTTCAAGAATTGACAAGATTTCACCCCCAATAACCCCTTATATTCCTTCTTGGAATGACAAAATAGAACAGAAAGATATAATGTTTTCTGTGGTGTGCTGCAGTAGCTTTCTGAGCTGATTCCTTGTTATTTTGCAGCAGTGGAGGCTGTAAAATCTTGTGTTCTTCTGTTACTGGGCACCTGATGTTGAAGTGGAATCTAAGTGCTGCTCATCTTGTCTTTAAGAGCCGTCAGTATTGCTAGTCAAGCAGTTTTGGTAATACAGCAGCCTTAAGAGAAGTCTTTCTTCGAGTTCCTGAACAAGTGTGTGTTTCAGTAGATTGCTCATATTTCAAAAACATAATTGTTTCAGTGTTATATGGAGAGAGGGGGCATTATTTGCTAATTATGACATTTTATGGAATATTTTGCTTTTTAATTTGCTCTGTGCCTAGTTGGTGCAATGAGGAAAACACCCAGCTAGGGAGAAAAGCAACACTATGATGCTATATTTTATTAAGGGTATTATAAAGTGCTGTTTTAGCTTTTTATATATACACTTTAATTCCTTTTAGGTACATAATAGAGTTACTAACTTTTTCCGTTATATATATTATCATGTCCCAGCCAGTAGACAGACATTTGCCTAAGGACACAGATTAACATTAACTAGGTTTTGAAATTTTTTGATTCAAGGTTTTATTTTGAAATATACAACCACCGTAGAATATATTTTTATGGACTAATGTCCATTCTGAATGATCAAGTCTTCCTGACTAGTAAAACAGTTTAATTGGAATTAAGCTATACTAAATGGTGAAAAATCAAAGAAGATTCATAGCAAATACGACAAAATACAGTCTAATTATCATTAAATATTATAAAAGAACCCCTAAATCTTAAAGGTCCTGGTTTTCATACAGAGCTTTAATTTAAGTAGCACAATTATCTCATAGAAAACTACTCAATATTTCTAAATACATTACTACTTTAGCATTTCTGCTGATTTAAGAAAATTGGCTGAAGCATGCTCACTATAAATGGGTGAAAGATGGCTGAAATGCAAGAAAGGAGCAGTGAATGTTGTTTTCCTTTGTGCCATTTTCATTTCATCTTAAAGTCACACTATGATCTTCTCTACAGTCTTTCTAAGGACAGGTAACACTGATTAGTTATGACCCCCCATGACGGTATACATAAATAACATTCTGCCCATGAGCTGGGTGCCTGGAGAAAATACTTTCCTGCTCAAGCATGTCTAAAAGCGTTCTGTCTTTTGAATTTTGAAAAGTTTTTATCTGCAAATGGTAACAAACTTTTCCTGCCTTCGCTAGCTGAAAACCAGCCTCCTTCCTCTTTCATTTCCCCAGCAGTGTTAGATGAAGTCAGGTAAGAAATCTAGAACTGAGTGCTCAACTTAATTATAAACAAGATAATCATTGTTCATTTTATAGAAGCATGTATTCCTTCTGTAACCAGCAGTATCACACTAAGATTGCTTAGTTTTATATTCAAATATTTTATATAAGAGTTATCAGATAAAGCGGTTATTTCCAGACAACATAGCCTATTGTGTGGGGTGAAAATGGATATGAATGTGCCATGTTCTTTTTGCTTGTTGCAGATACTTATTTTCTGTATATCAGGTTGGGTTTGTTTTTTTTTTTTACTTCAAAGGAGCATGAAAATATCCTTTCAGAAGAGTTCATGCCTAAATTCAAGTGTAATGTATACAGTCATGTGTCTTAATAGAGTTTAAAAGCACTGTCAGAACAAGGGTTTAGCTAAAACCCTTATCATTCAGGGCCATCTTGACTTTAACCATCATCTTAAACTCTACATAGAAAAATATGAAATATGTATGGTTTTGCACAGTATGTTTATGTATAATAATATTTTTCTCTCCGCATTCCCACTTGTCTCTTCAGTGTTGCTAGTATTCTCACCTCACCTGTGAAGTTGTGGAGGTATAGCCTAACAGCTTGTGATCTGTTATTCAAGCAGACAAAGAATTAATGTGTACTGAACACATCCATTTTAAAGTGACTATTTCTAGATCTAAAATCAGTAAACGATGTTTCAAAAAAAGTTTGAGGTGGAGAAAAGTTTTAAATTGGAAGGAGAAAATTGAAATTTTTGCAGCTTTTTTTCTGCTAAATTCTTTCCTCTTTTTTTTTTTTTTTTTTTTTTAATTGGTGTTTGGGAGATGCTGCAGGCTCTGAAGCTGAGACCTTCTGTCTCATTTAAGATTTGAAACCCTTAATACTATTCTTCCTCAAGGTTCCACATCCTTTTCTCTGCTCTTCCATTTTTTCAGGGCATTTGCCTTTTTCCCCCTTTTTTTTTCTCTTACATGGGAGATTGTAGGGTCAAAAGGAGAGCGGAGAGAGATGTTACTTTATCATAAACAAGTGTTGATATTTAAATGTTGCCTAATACCCAGTGAAAGACTTTGAAAGCAATGATTTAATGAGAAGAATATTAACAGGTCTTTTAGACTTCCTTTGAAAAGGAAGCACTTGCAGTACTACCTCTCAATCTGAGTTTCTTGAGTACTGGGGAATTTATTACTCTTTGCCAACTGCTTTTTGTCTCTGCTTGATGTCATGAAGACTGGGGGATTTCCAGCTGCATTTCATTAAATTGCTGTCCGAATTTTCCCCTATGTATGGAAGCCAGTATGGGCTAAAAAGAACAGGGAGCTTGAAGCAGAGTTTGAGCAGTACAGGCCGTCTTAGGTGCCTGTCTTCCTTACATCTGACAAGAAGTATTAGACAAAATCATTGCAGGTCAGGGAGAAGGCAGCTAATGAAAAGTCATTTGTGCTTTTGAAATCTCTCTTCTTGGAGCAAAAGAAGTATGGAACAAGGAGCTCCATCTCCCAGTTCAATTGGAAGAGGAATATCCCTTCCACTGCTGAGCCATCATCAGCTGGTCTTTCTCGGAGAAGAAATACATGTGGTACCCTGTGACTCCATCACTTATGGCATTTTACATGAGCAGCCAGTGCCAGTGTCAGGAGCAAAGCTTGGTAGTCTGCCTTTGTCAGGTCTGACTTCAGTAGGCTTAAGTTTCCTGTCTAGTTCTTGAAAATTATTTTCAAAATCAGCAGCAAGTAATATCTGATAGTCTCAAATGGTTCAACTGCATACTTACGCATCCTTTCTTCAGTTCAACACATTTTGTATATTCACATACTCTGGATAAAAATGCAACACAAAGCCTTTACATAAGGACAACTAGGTCATAAAAGGATCTGCTCAGGTTTTTTGCACAAATCTCCATTAATATCCAGCTCTGATGCTAATATAATGATGACTAGATGTGTGGTTAGTATTGCCTTCCCTCAGTGTGAACTGTGATTGGAAAACTATACACTTAAAATTGTGTGATCCTTTCCAATATTGACTAGATCACACTGAGAAAATATGTTTTCAACTAATATAGCTAGAAAGAGAGGTTATAAATTACATAAGTTAAAAAAGTTATTAAAATAAATTGAACAAGAAACAAGACTGCCAGTAACAGATGCAAAAAAAAGGAAAATTAGGCCAAAAGTCGCATGACTGTATCTGAACTTTAACCAT